AAGGAAAAGGGGACTGGAGATATATAGTTCAGCGGTAGAGCACCTCTGAATTTAATTCCCCAGCACCAAAATAATAATAACAAAATTAGCAGCAGGAATTCAGTTATTGGTATAAAATACAGTTTTAAAATGAAAATTACTGAATAGTCGTTTTACACAAAAGAGTATCACTTTAGAAAAGGCTCTAAAAAATCAGAAGTCTTCAAGTTAAAATTTTAGAACAATTCCAAAGACATTTAGGCTAATATATCTTTAAAGTTATCAGTATACAGCCAAGATACACAATGAAACTGGTAGTATTCTTAAAGAATAGACATTCAAAAGCCTAAAAACACAAAATTTAGTCATAACTTGTTCATGGCGTAAACTTACTATCTTAGTCATAATTTGCTCATGTGTGAACAACTCAGGATGAAGTGTAAAACCAGGATGTATATATGTTTCATGACTGAACTGATGCAAATGGATAGGGCACTATCAAGCTGAAAAATAATTCTCACAGTTTCAACTGTATACAATTTTCGAACAGAAGTGGTATGAATGGCTATGGTTAGTTTCTTTGGTCACTGTTGCTCCATATAATCACCTCTGATGGCTTAAAGACAAAAGACTAACTTCTCCTAGATGTGATAAAAGTGGTATTACATAATTGTTTTTTTTAATGACCATTTTACTTAATTCTAAATTAAAGACCACAGAGTAGTTAACACAGAACCATTACTTTGAAGCCACCTCATAAGATATGCCCTTTGGCTATGTTTCATTTCCGGAGCTGGCCAGGCCTGTAACACCACCTGCATCTTTGCCTATAACTTCTACCCGTTACCTTCTAGGGCAAAGGCACAAAAGGTGTAATTCTTTCTGCTCCTCCTTTAGAAAAGTCTCACACCAGAACAATGAAGCTTACACTATATAACACACACTAAAGACATTCTTTCACAAGAAACTATCCAGAATTTTTTCTGCTCTCTTAAGCTTTATGATTCATCCAATACTTTTTCTGTGTGCCACTATGATTGACAAAAAAGGTACTATACAAGATACACTGTTTCAAACTAGTCCACCAGAATGACTATTTACAAAGTTTTAAATTAAAAATGTATACAAATTCAAATTAATATGCCTATACCCAATGCAAGAGAGTAGATTTTATAAAAGTTTAAATAAATTATCCTTAGTCCAGATATTTGTTAAATCAATTATCCATGGTTGGGATATAGCTCAGTGGTTAAGTACTTGGCCTAGCATGGGCAAACCAGGGGTTTGATTACCAGTGCACACAGGCACACACACTCTACAAAAGATTTTTAGGAAATCAATTATCCACTTGTCTGAATGTACACATATACTTCCTTTATGAGATTCAGTAATCCAGATGAACTGGGAGAAAGGGATAAACCTTGCCCAAAATCTCAGGCTATTTAAAAATAGTTGTTGCTTTATGTTAATTACATATTACAAGACAAGACAATTACTGATGAGATTTTTTTCTATAATTTTCAAAATCATGAATATTTAAGTATATACTACCTAGTACTTAGTTTTTCAAAAATATTAAACATTCTACTCAATAAAAATATGATATCCCAATCTGAAACTTGTATAGTAAGCCTCTATGATTATTATAATCCCTGGTACCAAAAAAAAAAAAGAAAGAAAAAAAAAGGGCTGGGGATATGGCTCAAGTTGGTAGAGTGCTTGCCTTGCTTGCACAAGGCCCTAGGTTCGATGCTCAGCATCACATACAAAAAAAATAATAATAATCCCCCATCAAAACTCTAACCCATTGGTTTTAATATACACTATTACATTCCTCTGGATGTTCAATCAGGGCTTGTTTTGTGTTTAATTAGATAACAGACATTCTTCTACTTTATCCATAAATGCATCAATTCAATCTCTTCATCATTTAGTCTCTGAAAATTTAATTAAGCATGTAAAAACCTATACTTACAGATTCACTCAGTGTAACATATCTAAAAAGGCATATAGGATCAATGATTAAAAGAAAAAAACCCTGATGTTACAGTTCTAAAAATACTATAACTGCATTTATAATTAAGTTTCTAGGTATGAATGAGGGTAAACTTGATTGATTGGTTCATTGCCAAGGAAATGAGTAGTACCTGTCAGTACTGCCATGAATCAGCTAACTTTTTAATGTACCAATGTTTTCTTTGATATAAGGAAGCTGATTCATAGGGAATAGGGAGCGGGAGCATGGAGGAACAAGCGAACTCTAGATAGGGCAGAGGGGTTGGAGGGGAAGAGAGGGGACATGGGGTTATTGATCATGGTGAAATGTGATGATCATTATTATCCAAAGTACAGGTATGAAGACACAAATTGGTGTGAATATACTATGCATACAACCAGAGAAATGAAAAATTGTGCTCTATATGTATAATAAGAATTGCAACGGGGACTGGGGTTCTGGCTCAGTGGTGGAGCACTTGCCTAGCACATGCGAGGCCCTGGGTTAGATCCTCAGCACCACGTAAAAATAAATAAATAAAATGAAGGTAATGAGTCCAACTACAACTGAAAAATGAATACTTAAAAAAAAAAGAACTGCAATGCTTTCTGCTGTCATATATTAAAATAAATAAACAGCACTGCTAAGTAAGACATTTTACTGAAGGCTCTCTCTCAAAATCTTTTGCTCTTAATTACCTTTGCTCTTTTTTGAAACTTCCTCTTCCTAAAGTAATGGCCACATTTCTTGGCTTTTCCATTTTTTCTGGTCCCCTCTGCCATAACCTATCAGAATCTTATAGTCCCCCTCCACCACATCCTATCAGAATTTTGCTATGCTCATCAAAACAAAAGCCCAGGAGTAAAGCTAACCTGTAACACTTAGTGTTTCTGAAACACATTTAGAATGTGAGAAGAAAAACAAAGTCCCCGTTCATATAAGGAATCTTAATACAATAGTATACTTTCAAAGGAGGATAAACCTGTAGTCTGGAAAATCGGTTCAACTAACAAAGACATAACACATTCTTTCTATCTAGTTTTCTCCCCTGCCCTACTCCACAGCCACTTCCATATGGAACCAATACAACAGAGTATATTAAACATAGAAAGTAATCTTGTATTTGTTTCAAACTGTATTTAGTGTTCACTATGTCCAATTAAGAGGCTAACTAGAATTCCATACAAAAATATATCAGTTTAAAAAAAATTTCTCAATACCCACCTTCTAAACTGTGTGACTTCGATTGAAACTCATTTGATTATGAAAAGAACAGTATTATTTTAGCCCACTTAGTTTCATGAAGTGTTCTAAGTTCTTTACATATAGCATCTCAATCTTTGGTCAGCAGTAGGACACAATTTACTTGCCAGAGGAGGAAAATTGGGGGTGAGAAAAGAGAAGGGAAGCCCTTTATGCGGTTACAGCAAACATCTGACAGCAGTCATAAGTTACATATACACAATGGAATTTAGGATCTAAATTGCCATGAGGTTAACTTTGAAGACCGTTTGTCCATAATCAGTAATAAACTACATCATTTTTGCACTGCAGGTGCAATTTGTTTTTTTTCCCATAAGTATCTTAGAAAAATTTATATTTCATAAAGAATAACCAATAGTATCACAGCAAAGGTAAAATTGAGACGTGCATTAGGAAAAACAACTCTAAATTTAGCACCCTAAATTACAGCAAGGAAAGTCCTCACACCACTATTCACAAGTCTCAGTTTAAGCAATTTATTTTTGGCAAGCCAAATCACAGCTGTCAACACTGGTTTTTTCCCACCCCAAAATTACATAAATTATTCTGAAAAAAAATACAGACATCTTCAACTTGGAGGAAATTAAGTTACAAATGCCGTGTGTCATTATAGATACTTAAAAAAAAAAAAAGTCACACGGAAGGGGGTTTAAAAAAAAAAAGGCAAACAAACAAACCCTGGAAGATGCAGCAGAGCCCCCTTGCTCCCGAAATAAAACTCCTGGTGGCTGTAACAGCAGCGGCAGTGCTACTCCCGACAGAAGTTTTCAGCTGTCACTTCTAACAGCTGAGCGCTTCCTAGGAGAGAAGCGACAGGCCGAGAAGAGAGGTGGTTGTGGGAGGTCTGAAGATTTAATACTTGAAATCTTACACTCCGAGGGAAACCCTTCCGCGCTTCACCTGCACTTACGGGACATTTGGCACCCCCATCCCCCAAACACACGCTCACACCACCCGTGCCCTGCCACACTCAAGTTCAACAGCTCCAGAAATCGACCACGCGCCCTCTTCTCCACCTCTCTACAGACAGATTGCTGGGGGCTCCGCTGATCTAGGGATAAGGGCGCGACCTGCACCTGCGAGCCCCGCAGAGGCCTCATACCTAGGGCCAGGTCCTCCCCGCCAGGTCCCCTGCGCGGCCGCGCGGCGCCTCAGCTAGTCCAGGAGACTACTCGCGCCCCCCAGGGTCTCCGTGCTCTAGGACACGCCAGGCTTCCTGGGCCCGCGCCGCCGCCCTGGCCCTGTCACCTCGGGCCCCCCGGGACCCCGGGCCTCACCCCCTCCTCCAGCTCATCCTCAGAGCCTGCGTCCTCTGGCTGGTCCAGGTCTATGTCAAACACTCCTGCCATGTCCTCAGCTTCCCTGTCTCGGAAGTCAGGCGCTGGGTAAAAGCCGTCCCGCCTCCGTCGTCGCCTCATGGGCCCGGACCCGCCGCAGCCACAGCCGCCGCTGCCGCCATCACCGGCTGCTTAGGCTTAGTGCGTCTGCGCCTAGGCCCCAGACTGGCTCTTCAAGTTCAGCGCTAGAGCATGCGCATAGAGTTCCATGAAGTCAAACTGTGGGCAGTGAACATGCGTAGAACTATCTCCAGGATCCAGGTACTGGCAGAAACATGCGCAAAATTCCACCCGAAGCCTCGCTGGGAGACTAAAGCATGCGCATTGTCAGCCAAAGAATTTGATGGACAATGAGCATGCGTAACATATCTGAAGTTGATAAATTGAAATCGAGCATGCGTAATTAACCTTTCTGAATAGAAACGGCGGGGAGTACAGCAAAATTCTTCGTTTAAGGCACATATGCTTTCGTTCTCTGTGGCTTTTTAGTTCCGGAAAGGAGCATGCGCATAGTGAGAGGGTTGATCCTCTGAAGTTTGAACTCGAAGGAAACCGCGGCGGAGTGGAGGGCTGTCAGTGAGTGGCGGTAGCCCGGAGCTCCGCCGGTGGGAAAACAGAGAGTCTTGGCTTTGCCACTTACTAGTTTGGTGGCCTTGAGAAAGTCACACAACATTTCAGAGCACCAGTTTTTCCTTATCGGTAAAATGAGAATAATATTACTTACTCTGAAGATTTGAAATTATGGGTACATAAGCTGGCTCAGAACTCCTTCCCCCCCACCACCACCCCGCGCTCATTTCCAGTGTTGCATGGACTTGATGTTAGTCTTTACCAAAATTGTCTTCATTAAAAATAATGAAGATCTAGCTGGGCTCGATGTTGCTCCCTCTAATCCAGCGACTGGGGAGGCAGAGGCAGAAAGATAAAAAATTTAAGGCCGACCTTTGGCAATTTATCGAAATCCTATCTCAAAAAATAAAAAGGGGTGGGGATGTAGCTAGGTGGTTAGAGAGCCCCTGTGTTCAATTTCTAAATGATCTTTACTATATCATATGATCTCCTTTCTCCAAATTCCATTTTTGCTGTATTACTTGAGCTAAACACAAAGACTTTCTTTAAAGTGTTAATTATGGTTTCCAGGCCAGAAGGGTGGTTGGTGGAAAGAGATTAAGTTTTTATTTTACCAGAGATAAAATTAACGTTAATTGAACTACGATTGTTGAGTCAACTTCTAGTGTCCGTGTGTTGTGAAGTGTTTGTTACTAATTCCTTCAATTCGCATTTCTTTTGATTTGTTTGCTTTGTTTTATTTTAAATGCATACATAGGAAAAAAAGTGAGTACAAATCAGATTTTTGAAACCATTAAGCTGTGTGTGAATGTATTTGGGAACAGAAAATCCCAAATCCTAAAACTAACTAGAGAAGAGAAGAACTTTCCTGAATGACTGGCTCTTTAGACAATAGACCTATTTTGTTTCACATATAATACCATATACATATAGGCATTTTTTAAAATTACTTTTTATTGATTTACAGTTAATGCACATGGCATCTCACTTTTTCTTATTAATAATGTAGTGATTCTGTATTTTTTCTGTTACAGGTTGCTCACTTTTTTTGAAGAAACAGGACTAGTTCATGGCTCAGCATGTCAATAGTAACAGTGCAGCTTGGTCAGTGTGGCAACCAGATTGGTTTTGAAGTGTTTAATACATTATTTAGTGACTCACATGATTTCCAAGGACTCTGCTCTAAAAAAGAAAATGAGGCATATCAAGCATCTTGCCAAGAAAGATTCTTCAGGGAGGAAGAAAATGGAGGTATGTGTAGTCCATAGTCCTTTTCTTTACTCTGACTTAAATTGCTTAATTTAAGATGTCTGTACCTGGTCCCTTCCAGTTTCACTAGGGAATAACTATGATTTTGGCCCTTTGTTTCTGTGTTAGCAACCTTTGTCTCTCCAGGACATCTTTCCTCCAGCAGGTAAGTATGCTTAGACTTTATGAATCTGAAACCACCCAAATGGGTTGGAATGTAGTGCTGAGGTGGATAGTTTACCTAGCATATGTGAGGCCTTGAGTTCAGTCCCCAACACCATAAAAAAATAAAAAATGAAACCAAACAACACTTATCTCTTGACTATACCTTTCTTATTCCTTCTTATGTCTTAGCATTTCCAACCAAGATTTCCAAAGGAGAGTCATGCTTAACCAACTGCAATCCTGCTTCTGCCCCACAACACACTGAAGCTGCTCAAAGAAGAGTTTCCAATGACTTCCTCATTACTGTTTTACTTTTCCTTCTTTCTTTTTTAAATTTTTATTAATTTATTTATTTTGGTACTGGAGATTGAACCCAGGGCCTTGCATATTCTAGGCAAATACTCCACCACTGAGCTACATTCTATGTAAATCTTATTTTTGAGACAGGGTCTTGCTAAGTGGCTGACACTGGCCTCAACCTTGCAATCTTCCTGCATCAGCCTCCTGAGTAGCTGGAACTGACAGTCCTGTACCACCACCACACCCAGCTGCATGATTTTCTTTTCTTCAATTAACTTCTCTACTGGATTTGATAACATTAACTACAAAACTGCCTCTTTGAAATTCCTCCTTCTTAGTCTCTGAACTCTTCTTATGAAGTAGTTTTTTTCCCCCCTCAGAATCTCCTCTTCTCCCACAGGTATATTTCTGAGTGATTTCAGTCACTATAATGTGCTATATTTTTTATACCACTGACTCTCAAACCTCTACCCCAGCCTCTCTTTCCAGCTGTAGATTGATTAGTGGACATCTCCTGTTGCATCTCCCATGTGAACCTCAAATGCAACATCTCCATACCCATGGCATTCATTATTTTGCCTTTAAAACTTACACTTACCAAAATCTGCTAATTTTGCCTCCCATATATCTCTGGAAGCTGTTCTGCCCTTCTCATCTCCACTGTCATTGACTTGGTTCTGGCTCTTTTCCTCTCTTGCCTAGAGTGTTTCAAAACACTCCTTCTAGGTTTCCTTGCCTAGAGTTTTGTATCTATCTCATCTGTCCTCCACTCTGCTGTATTAAAAAAGACATCCAATTTTCCTCACCTGCTTGAAAATGCTAGGTGGTTTATCATTGTCTAAAAGATCAAATTCAAGCTTTGTAGCATTGCCTACAAGAATTTCCAAGATCTGATCCCTGTCTGCTTTCCATTCCTGTCCTTCACTTCTGCCCCCTCCTTCATCCTCTGCTTTAACAATTTTGAGCTGCCTCTTGCACCAGTGGTATTTTGTACCTCTGAATATGCTGCTCCTTTGGCATGGATTCATTGTGGGTCATATGGTGCACTCTGATTAAGTTGTTGTTGTGTTTCATCTCTCCCAGGAGTCCTTCTAGGATTGGTTTGATGTTGTTTTCACCTCTGTATTCCCAGTACAGCACATTATAAGCATTCAATAGGTATTGCAGACCTGACCAAAGTGGCTGTTTTTGTGTGTATGTGGTACTGGGGATAGAACCCTGGGCCACACATTCTAGGCAAACACTGTATTACTGAGCCATATCCTTGCCCTTTCATTTTTCTTATTTTGAAACAGAGTCTGGCTAAGTTGCTTGGTCTATCCTCAAACCTGCAATCCTGCCTCAACCCCCTGAGTAGCTGGGATTATAGGCAGGTGCCACCACACCCAGCTAAAGTGACCATTTTATCCCACACTGATTCATCCCGCTTAGCAGAACTCTGGGCTTAATGTCTACATTTACCTGTTGCTGCAGTATTTCTATGCATTATGACAAATCTTTCTTTTCCCAATCTCTGATTTTTCCCCCCCTCTGGACCTAAGGCAGGAGATGTAACTCAGTGACCTAGAAGTTTATGCTTTTAAGTTACCCAAATAAGACATATGAAATATTTTTTCTGTTGATTTTTTTCCCCTGTCTAGTTCCAGTTGCCCGGGCTGTGCTTATTGACATGGAACCTAAGGTTATCAATCAAACTCTGACAAAGGCTTCTCAGTCTGGCCGATGGAAATATGGTCAGCATGCATGCTTCTGTCAAAAACAAGGTTCTGGAAACAACTGGGCATATGGGTAAGAATAATTCCTCATGATTTTCAGTTTGGTTACAGCTAATAGTTAGTTAATAGACCCTGTAGTTACAACTGCACAGTTAATATGTGGAGCACACAATCTTGAAATTGTTGTTTTAAAATTGAGAATTTGACTTCACTGAGAAGAAATTTTCATTCTCTCTCTGCCTCAGATACAAGTATGGATGAAACCAAAGATCTTTTATAGCAGGGTTTTCCATCATCGCTGACCTGCTGCAAACTAACTTGTCAATGCAATATCCTTATTTGGCAGGAATATTAGTTCTAGAGAACACTACAAGGCAGTAGTTACAAACTTTACTGCAGTTTAACATTAGAATTTCCTGGGGGTCTTAGGTAAATCCTGCTATCTAGAGCTCACTTCTAGAGATTATGGTTTAATTGGTTTGGGGTGAAGCTCAAGTATTGAGATGTTCAAAGCTCCCATAACTCCCAATGTGCAGCAGAGTTTGAGAACCACTGCTTTAGGCCTGTTGTTATATATATAAAATATTATGTTCTACCATAAACTACCTGGTAATTGAAAGCTCTACCTCAATGAATGGCCTATAAGTGAGAACTTTCAGGATCCTGTAAATGCACTCTGCTAATAGTCATAATCACCTGTTAAATGTGTTTGACTAGTGTATTTTAGATTTTGTCCGTCAGGGACCTGAACCTTTCATGAGAGTTACTTCACTTTCAAAGCTTTGAAAAGACTTCTTTGTTCTGCATTGCATCTCTGTTTAAATTGAAAAGTGTTTGTGTTTGTTTCTTTTGCCATTGCAGTTACTCTGTACATGGACCTAGGCATGAAGAATCTATCATGAACCTAATCCAGAAGGAAGTGGAGAAATGTGACTCCTTGAGTGGTTTTTTCATCATAATGAGTATAGCTGGGGGCACAGGATCTGGGCTGGGAGCCTTCATTACACAGGATTTACAAGATCAGTACTCAAACTCTTTAAGAATGAATCAGATTATATGGCCCTATGGAACTGGTGAGGTATGAACATAATTAATGGAAAAGTTTATGTTTTCTATTCTTTGTAATTAAAATGAATGTGAGTAAAAGATGGCTCTCACCCTTTTTTGAAAATGTTAAGGTACTGGGGTGGTGGCTCAGTGGCAGAGCACTTGCCTACCATGTGTGAGGCACTGGGTTCAATTCTCAGCACCTCATATAAATAAATAAAAAATAAAGGTCCATTGAGAACGAAAAAATATTAAAAAAAAAAGAAAAGAAAACGTTAAGTTACAGCATCATATTACACAATATGGTACTTTTATGAACAATTCCTGTAACTTTGCTTAAACATTTCCATACAATTGAGTTTTTCTTATTTTTGTAACTTCCAAAGATGAAGTCTGGGGATATAGCTTAGTTGTAGAGCATGTGCTAAGCATGCACAAGGCTCTGGGTTCAGTCCCAAGCACTGAATGAACAAAATTCCAAAGATGACTGTGCTTCTTCTCTGAGAAACCCATTTATGAGATAATCCCTCTGGCTAGCGTATATAAAGCAGGGGCCTTGATCGCATGTTGGGGCCATTGCCAGCCTTCAAATAATTTTTTTTTTTTAAATTGAACTCAGGGGTACTTGACCACTGAGCCTACATCCCCAGCCCTATTTTGTATTTTATTAGAGACAGGGTCTCACTGAGTTGCTTAGCACCTCGCTAAATTGTTGAAGCTGGCTTTGAACTCGAGATCCTCCTGCCTCAGCCTCCTGAGCTGCTGCGTTTGTAGGCATGCACCACCATGCCTAGCTCAAATAATTTCTTTCCATTGGGAGGAAATTTTCTATGCAGGCCAATTTCCTGTGATCAGCCTAGTAGTAAGATAAGTCATTCTAGGAAATGATGTAGGAAGGAGGCATAATAGTAATAGCTCATATTTGTCATGCCCTTACTGTGTACAAGGCATGATTCTAAGTGCTTTACTTGCATTATATTAATCTTTAGAACTGATGCTAGTGTAATTATTATCCCCATTTTTCAAATGCGGAAACTGAGGCATACAGACATTACAAAACTTGCCCGAAGTCATGCAGCTAGAAAATCACAGAGCCAGGATGTGAACCTAGACTTGTTATCTTTTGAATCTCTACCCTTAACCACTATTCTCTCCTGTCTTTCTTGTTTCTGACCTTTTCCTCCTCAGGTTATTGTTCAGAACTACAACTCCATTATGACTCTTTCTCACCTGTACCGATCTTCAGATGCCCTCCTTGTTCACGAGAACGATGCTGTCCATAAGATCTGTGCAAAACTCATGAATATCAAGCAGATATCCTTTAGTGATATAAATCAAGTCCTTGCGCATCAGCTGGGAAGTGTGTTTCAGCCTACTTATTCTGAAGAAGGCGCTTTTCACTACAGAAGAAACCCACTAGGTATTTATTCCTCTGTGTGCTATTTGTATGAAAGTCTCCTGCTCTGAAACCCTCAAAGTTATTTTTTTACTGTCTCCTCTCCTCCACCTGAAGATATACTCAGGTCTCCCTCATCTCAAAAACCTTCTCTCAGGCCTGCTTTTATCTCTGAACTGCTGTACTGAAATTCTCGAGAAGTTGCTAAATTTTTCAAGAGTGGTAGATACTATACACTAACTGAATCATTCAGGATCCTTTCTTCTTTCTTTTTTTTTTTTTGGTAGGTGGTTCTGGGAATCAAACCCAGGGCCTTGTGCATGCAAGACACTCTATCCCTATTTATATTTTATTTTAAAGACAGGTCTCACTATGTTACTGAGGCTGGCCTTGAACTTGTGATCCCCCTGCTGCATAGGGCCTCCCGAGTAACTGGAATTACAGGCATGCACCACCTCACCTAGCTGTGTGTTCTTTATATAGTCTGGATATAAGTCCCTTATCTAATATATTGATTTGCAAACATTTTCTTTCATTCTTGGGTTTTCTTTGGGTTTCTAGATGATATTTTTCCCTTTTTAATTTCTTGCCACTGGCCTTCTCTCTTTCTGTCTCTTGTACCACTGTAGTTGCCTATTCCCCAAATTCAGCAGACCTGTCTTAGCCTGAGTTTATGGCAGCATTTTATACTTGACAGCTCCCTTCTTGACCTTCCTTCCTGCACCTGTCAGCTTGAGGACTTCACTCTCCTTCTTCCTTCCTAATTGCTCTTGTATTTTCTGACCATTTTTATATTTCCCACCATTCTTCTTCAGTTCTTCTTCAAGTGGTACCTTATTAATTCAGATCATCTAAATGTAATTGAGGGCTGGGGATGAGGCTCAAGCGGTAGCGCGCTCTCCTGGCATGCGTGCGGCCCGGGTTCGATCCTCAGCACCACATACAAACAAAGATGTTGTGTCCACAGAAAACTAAAAATAAATAAATAAATAAATGTAATTGACTCTGTTATCTCTATCTCTTTTCTTTTTTTTAAAGAGAGAGAGAGAGAGAATTTTAATATTTATTTTTTAGTTTTCAGCAGACACAGCATCTTTATTTGTATGTGGTGCTGAGGATCGAACCTGGGCCGCACGCATGCCAGGCGAGCACACTACCGCTTGAGCCACATCCCCAGCCCTCTACCTCCATTTCTAATCTCCCCAAAAGTTGTATGTCCCAGTTTTCTTTCCTCTCTTTCTTTTCTCTTTTTGAGCTGCAGATGAAACCCAGGGCCTCACACTGAGCTGTATTCTTGCCAGTCCCAGTTTTTTACTTGCCTTCTGCTTCTTAAAATTTAGCATGTGTATTTTCTTTTTTTAAATTTTCTTTTCCTTTTTTGTTTTGAGACTATCTTGTCCCATGTTGCTGAGGCTGACCTTGAACTCCTGGTCTTAAGTTTTCATCTTGCCTCAGCCTCCCGAGTAGCTGGGACCACAAACATGGGCCACTGAGTTGTGCTAAAATCAGGATTTTTAAAAAACTTTTTTATTTGTTCTTTTTAGTTACACATGAAAGTAGACTGTACTTTGACATATTTTATACATAAATTATAAAATAAATTTTATATGAGATTAATTTTATTTACACACATATATGTATATATATATATATAGAGAGAGAGAGAGAATGTGAGAGTGTGTGTGTGTGTGTGTGTGTGTACATCTTCCCATTCTGGTTGTACATGATGTGGAATTACATTGATCATGTAAATATGACCAATTACATTGGTCATATATGAACATAGGAAAGTAATGTCTAAAAAGTGAGAATTTTTGTTTAGTTTGTTTACCACTCTGTCTCAGTGCTTGAACAGTTTGTGGCGAATAGTAAACACTCAAGAAAATACTTGTTGGGTGGGGAGTATATGTATCTGAAGTTCATAAGTAGCGTGGACCTAAGTCATAAATCGGTGTTATGTTTAGGGATTGAGAACTCAAGGGGGTCCCAATCTGCCATGTGGTCTGATTTTCTTCAGTTGTGCTCTGACTGAGAATGTGAGGAGAGGGACTGATCCAAGACTGGGAGTTTGCCAGAAAGAAGAAGTCTGATGATTTGAGAAGGGAAGAGGTTGGTGGATTAGGCTCTCAGTGAGGTCCAAAAATGGATAAGGTGACAGCAGTTGAACAAGAAAGCTGGAGAGGAGGTCTGGGGATGTGGCTCAGTGCAGGAGTGATGGCTTTATAAGTAGAAGGCTCTGGGCTTAATTCCCAGGACTGCCAAAGAAAAAAAAATCCATGTGTTATTTGGTGACTGTGTTACTTTTTTTTTTTTTTAGTTGTAGATGGACATATTATCTTTATTTTTATTTATTTATTTAAATATTTATTTTTAATTGTAGTTAAACACAATACCTTTATTTAATTTCTTTTTACATGGTGCTGAGGATCGAACCCAGGGCCCCGCATGTGCTAGGCAAGCGCTCTACCGCTGAGCCACAACTCCAGCTCTGTGTGTTACTTTTACTCTAGACTTTGACTCTAGGTGTTTTATAGAAAAGGATTTTTATGTTTAGAGGAAAGTCCACTAGTGTAAACCCATTTTTGCAGCATTTTGTAGATGTTTGTGTCAAAAATTTTCTTTTCACTAGGACATAGGACATGAGTATTCACTCAAAATGTCATAAAATTTACATTTTATATTATGGCAATACATTCTTCTCTCTCTCTGCTGTAGGTATTTTCTATAAATAAATAAAACAACTGTCAATGTAAAACAAATTAGCCTTTCTCCTTAATTCAATTTCATTACAAATATAAGTTTCTAAAAATAGGCACATTTCTGTCTCAAGGAATTTATTAATTTTGTCTTCTTTCCAAGTAGGGTTTCATGTTAGCAGGCTTTTTTCTTTCTCTTTTCTTTTCTTTCTTTTTTTTAATTTTTTTTTTTTTTTAATTCCAGTGCTGGGGATCAACCTCCAGCACCCCTCTCCCCCCCCCCCCCCCCCCATGGCCACTCACATTTGTTTCCTTCCTTTCTCTCCAAACAGTTGAGCACAGCTCTAACACTGAGCTACATCCCTAGCCTGCCTGATTTTGGGAGGTGGCAGGGATGGGAGATACTGGGGATTGAACTCAGGGGCACTTAACCACTGAGCCAGACCTCTAGCCCTATTTTGTATTTTATTTAGAGACAGGGTCTCACTCAGTTGCTTAGTACCTCGCTTTTGCTGAGGCTGGCTTTGAACTCACAATCCTCCTGCCTCAGCATCCTGAGCTGCTGGGATTACAGGCATGTCCCACTGCACCCTGCACCTGCCTAATTTTGATTATCATTTAACCAGATAAATAGAAGAACTAGAGGGATGGGGTTGTGGCTCAGTGGTGGAGCACTTGCCTAGCACATGTGAGGCACTGGGTTCAATCCTCAGCACCACATAAAAATAAGTAAATAAAGGTATCATGTTCATCTACAACTAAATTTTTTTTTTAAATTTTAAATCTAGGGCTGGGGATGTGGCTCAAGTGGTAGCGCGCTCGCGTGCGGCCCAGGTTCGATCCTCAGCACCACATACAAACAAAGATGTTGTGTCCGCCGAAAACTAAAAAATAAATATTAAAAAAATATTCTCTCCCTCTCTCTCTCTCTCAAAAAAAAAAAAATTTAAATCTAGAAAATTTTCTAACAAACTATTTAGTGAACACAAAAAGACAAGAAAAGTATATTAGCCCTCATGCTTTCTTTGTTTTCCTGGGATCTAGCTAAATATTCATTCACATTTTTCAGTTACTTGGCTTCTGAATTCTTGTTTCCTTTTTGGCAAACTGTATTTTCTCACCTGTGCTAAAATGGATGCCAAAATGAACCAGAGATGTGGTCTGTATTAGACATTTTCTCTGAATTTTTATTATTTTAAAGTTTAACCAATGCTGGCCTTTGAGAAAGCATTTGACCCAGAAAAACAAATCGTGATTGTATATAGGCCAATGTCAACAGTCTAGAATTTAAAAAAATTTACTTCAAATCTTTTTTTTTTTTTTTTCTTTATAGGAGACTTAATGGAGAATTTAGTTCCCCATCCTGAATTCAAGATGCTGGGTATTCGTAACATTCCTCAAATGTCTGAGAATTCACTGGCATATAGCACGTTTACTTGGACTGGCCTCCTCAAACATTTGAGACAGATGCTCATTTCTAATGCGAAAATGGAAGAAGGTAAAGGGTTTTTTAAAATACACAGTCCACAAGCTGAGAAAAGTGCCTGTCCTAGAGCTCTGAGAATAAACTGGGTTGGGCCAGTTGATATAAACATTCCTTCGTCTTGCCAGGGAGGCTACTGCAGAAACTCACCAGGACATCACAGGAAGGCTGCTGCTGCTTTTTCATTTCTTTCCCACCTCCCAGCTCTGTCCTCCTGTGCTGGGGACTGACCCCAAGGCGTGGTGCATGCTAGGCATGTGCTCTACCACTAAGCTCCATACCCAGACCCACATGAAGTCTTCTTTTTCTTCTTTTTTTTGAGACAGGGTCTTGCTAAGTTGCAGAAACTGGCATGAGCCACCAAGGCCTACAAGAAAACTTTCATTTCACCGTTTTGACATTACCAAAAAACATTTCGGATGAGTGCCATATGTTTTTTCAAATTTTTATTTTCTTTTAATTAAAGCAATATATGAATATGGTTTTCTTTTTCTTTTTTTAACTATTTTTTAGTTGTAGCCAGACAGGATACCTTTATTTTATTTATTTATTTTTATGTGGTGCTGAGGATTGAACCCAGGGCCTCACATGTGGCAGGCGAGTAGAGTATTCTACCACTGAACAACAATCTCAGCCCTCAATATAGTTTTCAAATCAAGTAGTTAAAACTCATTTAAGGACTAGAGGGTAGTTTAGTGGTAGAGTGCATGCTTTGTATACATGCACGCACCCACAAGGTCCTGGATACCCCAATACCACAAACAAACAAAAAAAATCATTTTTTAAGAGTTTGAGTGTGCACTTAAGCTGGGTGCACTGGCACATGCATGTAACCCCAGTGACTCAGGAGGCTGAGGCAGGAGGATTGTAAAGTTCAAGGCCAGCCTCCACAATTTAGTGAGACCCTGTCACAAAATAAAAAATAAAAACTGGGGGCTGGGGATGTGGCTCAAGCGGTAGCGCGCTGGCCTGGCATGCGTGCGGCCCGGGTTCGATCATCAGCACCACATACAAACAAAGATGTTGTGTCCGTGAAAACTAAAAAAAATAATAAATATTTTAAAAAATAAAATATAAAAAAGTAAAATAAAAAGGGCTGGGGACATAGCTCAATGGTAAAGTGCCCCTGGTGCAAATTCTAACACCAGGAAAAATAAACAACAAACAAAAAAATCACAACTAAACATATACCTACAGTTATACATTGCAGTGTATGTAAATTACATCAATTTTTTAAAGTGAAGTAATTTTTCAGTATGAATTTATAATATCAAGAACAGTAGTCCCCTGTCCTACAACTGCTCCTTGCTCAGATGAAACTACTTTGTCTTTAGCTGTTTCTTCTGAAATCTGCTCCCAGATTTTTTAAATATCTTGCTTCTACCCTTTTTTGTCTTATTTTCTTGTTGTGGATATTCACCATTGTCTTCTTAACGTTTCATGTAGAATTTATTTTTTCCTTTTAGAGTTGTTAATAATTTTATTTATTTGGTCAGTATTCACTGTACCTATCACTGATCTACCTGACACTTTTCCATAAAAATGATTCCCTTCTTGGGCTGGGGCTGGGACTAAGTGGGAGAGCGCTTGCCAGGCAGGCACTGGGTTTCATCTTTAGCACCACATTAAAAAAAAAGGTAAATAAACAAAATAAAGGTATTGTGTCCATCTACAAAAAATGAATCCTTCTCAACATGTTAAGCCCTCAGGGAACAGTTTACTTTCACTATCTGCTTGGGGATGTGTCTCTGGAAAGCCCTCCTCCTCCTCTTTCTGTTGGGATTGGTTGCTCTGCAGGCTTGATAAACAGCCAGCAGGTGTCTCCATTTGCCTCATACTATATTATAGCCCCAGCTTAATGGATTTCAGATCCTCCTCTTTCTTGGTTTATTCCCTCATGTTGGTAGACCATACCCTCTAGGAGCTTCCTTAAAAAGAGTACTGGGAAGGTAAAGAATTTGAAGCTATAAATGTCATTATTCAGCTTTCCATTTGACCAGGCATAGGCTCTGAGGTTATGAATCATTTTCACTCAGTATTTTAGAGACAAAGGGGTTTTTTGGTTTTTTTTTTTTTTGGTACTGGGGGTGAACTCAGGGGTGCTTTGCCACTGAGCTACATATGCAGCACTTTTTGTTTTTTATTTTGAAACACATTCTCCCTAAATTCCTGAGGGCCTCACTTAGTTTCTGAGGCTGGCCTCAAATTTGTAATCCTTCTGCTTCAGCCTCCCGAGTCACTGAGATTACAGGCCTGCACTACCACATCCAACTTAATCCTTTTTTTTTTTTGTACTAGGATTGAACCTAGGAACACTTAACCACTGAGCCACATCCCCAGCCCCCCCGCTTTTTTTTTTTTTTTTTTTTTTTGGTATTTTATTTAGAGATAGGGTCTCACTGAGTTGCTTAGGGCCTCGCTAAATTGCTAAGGCTGGCTTTGAACTCAAAATTTTCCTGTCTCAGCCTCCGGAGCTGTTGGGATTACATGCGTGCACCATGGCACCCAGCTTCAAGTCAATTTTGATACACCACAGAGAGGTACTATATGAACAAGACTAATGAATGCAATCAAGAATCTGTATAGTACTCCCAGCAGCCCAGGAGGCTGAGGAAGCAGGATCATAAGGTCAAAGCCAGCCTCAGCAACTTAGCAAGGCCCTAAGCAACTCAGTGAGACCCTGTCTCTAAATAAAATACAAAAAAAAGGGGGGGCATGGGCGGGCTGGGGTTGTGGCTCAGTGGTAGAGTGCCTGCCTAGCATGTGTGAGGCACTGGTTTCGATTCTCAGCACTGCATAAATGAATAAGATAAAGGTCCATCAACAACTAAAAAAAAAATATATATATATATATATACACATACATATATACATATATATATATATATATATATATATTTTTTTTTTTTTTTTTTAATGTATGGGGATGTTGCTCAGTTGTTAAGTGCCTTAGGTTCATCTGTGTAGTACTGTACATAGTGGCACATGATTGTCATCTCAGAGCCTTGGGAGGCTGAGGCAAGTAGATCTCAAGTTTGAGTCTAGCCTTAGCAATTTAGAGAGACCCTATTTTAAAATACAAAATAGGAAGTAGTGGGAGCTGGCTCAGTGGTAAAGTGTGCCTGAGTTGAATCCCCAGTACCTGGAGAAGAAGAAACTGGGAATCTGTGCAGTGAGAAGTTGTAGTGGTGCTCACCTGTAATCCCAGCTGTTCAGGAGGTTGAGGCAAAAGGATGGTAAGTTCAAGGCCAAGCTCAGCAACTCAGCAAGGCCCTGTCTCAAAATTTTTTAAAAAATTTAAAAGAGTAAAAAAGAACTGGGATGTAACTTTGTGAAAGAAGTATTAAAAAAAAATAGAAAAAGAAAAAATCCCTGTCCTCAAGAGTCCTGCATTCTTCTGAGATGGATGAAGGACCTATACCGAGTAATTTCAGAATGTCTGGGACAGAGAGAACCTTCTAAAGGCTTCTAGAGAGAATAAGACAGGATTAGAAATCAGAATAATATGGGAGGGGCTGGGGCTGTAGCTCAGTGATAGAGCATGTGCTTAGCTGTGCATGAGGTCCTAGGTGTGAACCACTAAACTTGGCTGCCAGTCTCTTCAGTACTGGTTCAGAAGAGCTTCCCCTTAGAGACCCCGTTTTTTGGTAAGGTTCACAGCATGGCTGTGCCCGGAGTCACTGAGGCTAGGGCCTCTGCTTTAACCTTTTCAGAGCAGAAACCTAGGATAGAGGAAGGTACTCCCTCTGCTGCAAGAAGTAGGAAGGAGCAAGGACTATTACTGCTTCTCATATAGATTTTTAACTAATCCTCTTGTTTGTCCACTTTTAGAAATGCCTAGCCTGCTTCTAGGACCCCAACAGTGCATGGGCGGAAGTTCTGGCTTTCCTAGTTGCTTACATTCATTAGCCAGTGGTTCATCTGCTGACCCTGCTTCCAAAATTTTGTTGATGTTATCTTCTCTCCTCTTATTCTTTATTTTCCCCTCTTATTTATGCATTTAAAGAAAGTCCCTATCGGGTCAGGGATGTTGCTTAGTGGTAGAGCACATGCCTATCATGTGGGAGGCCCTGTGTTTGATCTGTAGCACTGAAAACAAAATAAAAAGAAAAAAAAAAAATATATATATATATATATATATTATTCCATTTTTGTGGAATTTGAAAAGAGAGAGGCAGTAAACTGGTATATGTTCAGTATTTCCTGTTTAACTAGAAATCACTATGTATTATTTTAGTAGCATATATTATATTGCAAAGTAAGATAACAGGTTTAAATACTATGAAAGTGGATTTTCTCTACATTTGCTTGTATTAGCATATAGATTTTTAGATTATAGTGCCAGAGGTTTGAAGATAAATAAAAAGTCCACATCTTAAAGTAGCACTTCCCGAAGTTTTTGGCCACAATACTTGTTTTTCTAGCAATACCTGTTAGTATCTCAAGGAACACAATGTTCCTTAGGGTAGTTTGAGACATTCTACTCCAAGCTGTCTTAAGTCAATAAACCACAGTTTGCTTAAGTCATTTTCCCATGTGGGACTTTAGGGTGTTAACAGTTTTTCACAATTATAGATAGAGTTTGAACATATAAATGTGTTTTTTGTTATTGTTTTGTGGTTGTGGGATTGAACCCAAGGCCTCACACATGCTAAGTAAGCACTCTACTACTGAGCTACACTCCTGGCCCCTGAATCTTTTCTTTTTTTAAATATATGAATATGTATATGAATAAATATATTCATGGCACAGGTCAGGTTGTAGGATCTAGTTTTATAACTATTTCTATGTTATCAGATTCCTCTAAAGATTGGCCTTTTTTTTTTTTTTTTAATTGCTACTGGGAATTGGACCTAGGACCCAGGGACACTTTAGCACAGAGCTATATCTCCAGCCCTTTTTACTTTCTGTCTTGAGACTGGCATCTCATAAGTTACTGAGGGTCGCGCTAAATGGCTAAGGCTGGCCTCCAACTTGTGATCCTCCCGCCTCAGCCTCAGAAGTCTCTGGAATTACAGGCATATACCACCATGCCTGATTTTCAATGATGAATATTTCAGCCTTTTTTTTTTTTTAGGACTCAGCAGTTTAAATAATTCAACCAGATGAGAATTTTTAAATTCTAAAGGAAAAACACAAAGCTAGGCTCTGTGGCACATGCCTGGAATTCTAGCAGCTCAGGAGACTGAGACAGGAGGATTGCAAGTTCAAAGTCAGCCTCAGCAAAAGCAAGGGACTAAGCAACTCAGTGAGATCCTGTCTCTAAATAAAATACAAAACAGGGCTGGGGAGGTGGCTCAGTGATTAAGATTCCCTGAGTTAAATTTCTGGTACCAAAAAAAAAAGAAAAGAAAGAAAGAAAAATCAACTTTTACATAGCTAATAAAAATTTATGTAAAATATATATGTCACAAGACATTTTTTCCCCTTCTTGCGGTAGGGATTGATTGGCAGGTACGACCTCCCATATCCGGACTTCCAGCTATTGGGAAAATGAGTCTCAAGAAGGAGCTGCATTTTAACACTTCCATTGCTAATTTGGTCATCCTTCGTGGGAAAGAGGTACAAAATGCAGATCTCGGTAAGCAGAAGTTAAGGTGAAAATTAAGGTGTACAATTCACATCCTGCAAGTGGTTGAAAAAGAAGTCCCACTGGGTATGCATGCCTGTAATCCCAGCAACTCAGGAAACTGAGGCAGGAGGATTCCAAGTTGGAGGTCAGCGTCACTGTCTCAAAAAATAAGAAGTTGGGGATATGAATCAGTGGTAAAGCACCCCGGTTCAATCCCAGGTACCAACAAGAAAAAAAACAATCCCACTTGTATATTTATTCTTAGAGAAAGAAACATATGATAAAAACTATGGAAAAAAAGAAAAAAAAAACAATTAAAAAATGGAGGAAAAAAATAATAAAAAAATCACCAATAAAAATATGGAGGGCTGGGGTTGTAGTTCAGTGGTTGAGTGCTTGCCTCACATGTATGAGGCACTGGGTTCGATCCTCAGCACTACATACAAAAATAAATAAATAAAACAAAGATATTGTGTCCATCTACAACTAAAAAAAAAAGTTGAAAAAATATGGAAAAAGAAAAGAAAGTAATAACTGTGTTTTAACATCAAACTAGAACTGTGGTAACAGTTTGTATATTACTGGACACCAAAATAGAAGTGGTTAAAACAAGATAAAAGTTTAATTCTTTTCTTCCAAACATCTGGTTGTTCTGCCGTCCTTCCCTTGGGGCTCCACATACATAGTCATGACACCTGCCAGAGCTTTGGCCATCAGATCACATAGGAATGGGCTGGCAGAGTAACTCAGTGCCAGAGTGCTTGTCCAGCATGCACGAAGACCTGGATTCAATCCCCAGCACCATACACACACAAAATCACATAGGAATGAGCAAAGAAAGGCATTCCTCCCCACTCTGAAAGTTGCACATCACCCTTCCATTTCTGTTTCATTGTCTGGGATTGAGTCATGTGCCACACCTAACTGTAAAGGTGGCTATGAGAAGAGTTAAAGTTTGGGGGTCTCCAGCAATTCAGGAGGCTGGGGCAGGAGGATTGCAAGTTTGAGACTAGACTCTACAATTTAGCAAGGCCCTAAGTAATTTAGTGAGACCCTGTTTCAAATTTTTTAAAAAAGGACTGGGGATGTGGCTCAGTAGTTAAATGCCCCTGGGTTCAGTCCCTAGTAGAAAAAAAAGGGGGGGGGGGGGGAGGAGAAGGAGAGAGGAAGGCAGGAAAAAGAAAAGAAAGAAAAATAAATTGAGAGGTTAAAGGACTGGGGGTGTACCTCTGTGGTTTAAGTATCTGCCTACCATGTATAGGCACTGGGTTCAGCCTGAGCACTGGGAAAAAAACTAAGAGTCCTGCAACTAGGGAAGAAGGGGAAAATAGGAATCGTTGGACAATCAATGATCTCTATGACAAACTTTCTTTCCCCCAATACTGGGAATTGAACCCACGGGCACTTTACCACTGAGCTACATCCCCAGCCCTTTTATTTTGAGACAGGGTCTCCCTAAGTTGCTGAACTTGAACTTGTGATCCTCCTGTCTCGGCCTCCTGAATCACTGGGATTATAAGTGCTTGCCACTGCCCAGCAAGGGTTTGACTAGCACTTTGTTGCAGTTTTTTCTAGAAGTTGAAAGAGCAGTACTCTTATTAGTTTTTATCTGTGACTGTTTTCTAGATTTATTTTATCCTTATAATATAAACTGACTTCAGCAGTGTCAAACCTGCTATTTCTTATTACGTACAAAAAAAAAAAAAAAAACCATGCAAGCTGGGTGTGATGGTGCATGCCTGTAGTCCTAAGAGTCTGAGGTAAGATGATCACAGGCTCCCAGTGAGCCTCAGCAATTTAGTAAGACCCTGTCTCAATATAAAAATAAGAAGGCCTGAAGATGTTGTTCAGTGGTAAGGTGCCCCTGCGTTCAATTCCCAGTACTGCAAAAAAAGAAGAAAGAAAGGGAAGAAAACAATTTGTCCTTGTAATATTTGCTTTTTTTTTTTTTTTTTGGTACCAGTGATTGAACCCAGGGGCACTTAACCACTGAGCCACAGCCACGGCTCTTTTTATTTTTTTGAGCCAGGGTCTCACAAATTGCTTAGGTCTTTTCTAACTTGCAATCCTCCCGCCTCAGCATCCTGAGCTGCTGGGATTACAGGTGTGCACCACCACACCCAGCTAATATTTGCCACTTAAACAAAGAACTAATAATTTATAAAGGATCATTTCAAGTCAATTGGATGACATACCTACTTCATAGTCTTTTTTTTTTTTTTTTTTGGTACCCGGGGGCACTTGTCCACGGAGCCACATCCCTAGCCTTTTTTTACATTTTATTTAGAGACAGGGTCTCACTGGGTTGCTTAGTGCGTCGCTGTTGCTGAGGCTGGCTTTGATTGTGAGCCTCTGCCTCAGCCTCCCAAACTGCTGGGATTACAGGCGTGCACCACTATACCTGGCAATAGTTTTCATTTTAGATTTTAAAAAAAAATTTTAAACTATGCCTAAAATAATTTAATTTCTAAAAATTTAGCCATAGCAAATGACACAAATGCACAAGAGATGTTCAATGTAACATTTTTTTACAAAATGGGAATATTCTAAATGGCCAATGCTAGGAAATTTCTTCAATTTTGGCATGTTCATCTAAGAAGCCTTTAACATAAGTGATCCTTGATATGCAAACAAATTCACAACACATCAATGAAGAAAATACAGAATATGTATGAACCTGTGTGTAAAACTGAGCACACAGGGAGGTCCACAAAAGGTTCATAGCCATTATCTCTGGGGACATTTCAGCTGTCCTGATGAATTTCTTCTTCTTCTTTTTTTTTTTTTTTGTAGTGCTGGGGATTGAACCCAGGGCCTTGTGCATGTGAGATAAGCACTCTACCAACTGAGCTACATCCCTAACTCTGTCCTGGTGATTTTTAAATTTTGTTTTTAATACTTTTCTGAATGGTGTGAATTATTACTACTTATTTTTGGAACAATGAATGTAGATTATTTATCCAAAAGCCATATAAAGCTACATTTATGAGGCAAAGTGGGGCTGGGGTATTAGCCCTATTAGTGGTAGAGCATTTGCCTAGCATGTGCCAGGCTCCAGTTTAAATCCCTAGCACTGCAAAAAATGAATAAATAACCCCACCCCCCAGCAAATAATAGAGTAAAAAATTAATAAATAAAAGGCAATTTCTAATGAAATGGATGAGAAAATGTTTATTCATTTATTTTTACAATTAATAATCTAGGCTGTAAAAAATAGCTCATGTCATTTTTTTTTTTGTTTTTGTTTTTTTTTACTCTAGAGGGATTTAAAGATCCAGCTCTCTACACTTCCTGGTTACAGCCTGACATTGCCTTCAATGTGTGGAAAATCCAGCGAGCCTTTAACAGATATGAGAAGTCTGCAGCGCTCGTCAGCAATAGCCAGTTCTTAGTAAAGCCTCTTGATATGATTGTGGGCAAAGCGTGGAATATGTTTGCTTCAAAGTAAGTAAGAAAGAAATCTATAGACCTTCTCACCTTAGACACATAACAGTGTTAGAGCATGATCCATGAAGGATCGGAATAAGCCCAGATGCTACTTTATGGGTGGGAGGCCGTGGGCATGTAACTTCTGTGGCTCATCTGCATTATGGGTTTTAACTGAGAAACTCTGGTGAGGACTAAATGAGATAATCATGTAAAATACCTGGAACACTGTCCCACTAGTAAATGCTCAATAATTGCTCTACACTATTATCATTATATTGATATTGTTATTGTTGACTAAATGGGTACTTTCTAAGCCAAATTAAATTAGAGTAGAAATGAAATTAAAGTAGAAATTCCACCATAAGGCAGGGACGATAAGATAGTTTTTAAATATAAGACCCTTGGGAGAGTAGCCGGGTACAGTGCCACATGCCTATAATCCCAGTGGCTTGGGAGGTTGAGGCAGGAGGATCATGAGTTCATAGCCAGCCTCAGCAATGGTGAGGTCTAAGCAACTCAGTGAGACCCTGTCTCTAAATAAAATACAAAAAAAGGGCCAGGGATGTGGCTCAGTGATCGAGTGCCCCAGAGTTCAATCCCTGGTACCCCAACCGCACCCCCAGCCCCCCAAAAAAGATGCTTATGAGAGTAAAAGAGATTCAGATCTTCCTTAGTAATGTATATGGGAAGTTCAACTCTGCTTGACACTAAAGAATGTTCTAGCAGGTTATTGACCTCTACCAATTGACAATTACTTACTGTCAAAGTAAAATTCCTCAAATGATTGAACATATTCATATTCATGAGTTAGAAGTGGTCTATTTATTGTTTGTATATTGTTTGATTTCATTTGCCTGATTAGCTAGGATTAGCTAGGATTGATTAGCCAGGATTCCCAAGGGCCTGGTCATCCTGCACGTGGCCATTCCATAAGCCCTCACTCTTCTGATGTGAATGTTCTGTCCTCTTCTGGCCTCTTTCTTTCATTGACTCTTAATAAGAGGCAGCAGCCATTATTATGTCAACTAATGTCTGCCCTTGATAGTCTTTTTCTGGACATGACTCTATCTTAGAACATTGAGGTGGGGGAGAGACTGAGAAGACACCCTAGTATAGGTTCAAATTAAATGTTCTCTTAAAAGCACTTTGGGAGGCTTCACTACAGTCCTAAAATCAGATTGATGTGTTTCTAACTTCAAGCCTTAGATGAAATTTTTCAGACACTTTTTAGAGTTCATATTGAACCCAGTCATCTCCCATAGAGTGTTGAATATGTGCTGGATAGATGTCCAAACCTGAATATGCTTCTTTTTCTTCTTTTTCCTTTGTGCCTCTCTCCCTCCCTCCCTGTCTTTCTTTTCTTTTTCTCTCTCTCCCCGCTCCCCTCTTTGTACTGGGGATAAACCCAGGGGTGGTTAATCACTGAGTTACATTCCCAGCCCTTTTTATTTTTCAGTTTGAGACAGAGGCTCACTAAATTGCTGAGGGCCTCCCTAAATTGCTGTAGTTGGCCTTTGGCCTTGACTTTGCCATCCTCCTTCTGAGCAGCTGGGAGTACAGGTGTGTGCCAGGGCACCCAGCCCTTGTGTGCCTCTTCTTCTCACTCTGTTGGACGGTAAAAGGTCAGAAACTTGACAAGGTGGAAGTTCACGAATCTTTGGAGTAAACAATCAAATATAAGATTTCTGAGAGATTCTGTGATTTTTGAATATTCATGAGGTAGAAGTGGTCTATTTATTGTTTGTATATTGTTTGATTTCATTTGCCTGAAGTTTTTTATTTGTCAACTTCTTCTCTTTTTCACTAGAGCCTACGTTCATCAGTATACAAAATTTGGAATCGAAGAAGAGGACTTTTTGGACAGTTTCACATTGTTAGAACAAGTTGTTTCGAGTTACTCTAACATCTGATTTTGAAAACCTTAGGAATGTTTGGACTGAAATATGTTCAATACTACTGTTTTTAAAGTTTGATCTATGAACTATATCCCAGACTTTTTCTTTCTTTTTTTGGACCTGTGGATTTAACCCAGGGGTACTTAACCACTGAGCTATATCCTCAGCTTTTTTGATTTTTTATTTTGAGACAAGTTGCTTAGAGCCTCACTAAGTTGCCCAGAGCTGTCCTTGAACTTGGAATCTTCCTGCCTCAGCTTCTAGAGTTGCTGGGATTACAAGGGTGCATCACCGTACCACAGAGAATTTTTAAATAGGGAATAACAAGTTCTCAATGAAATCATCTACTTAGTAATTCATTTGTAAGAGACAAAAAAAAAAAAAATGTTACTCCTATAGAGAACTTTTGTTTTGTTGAGACAGAGTCTTGCCATGTTGCCCACGCTGCTCTATGAGGCTGAACTACTAGGCCCATGGCATTCTGTTGCCTCAGCCTCCCAAGCAGCTAGGACTGCAGGCACATGCCATAGTGCCCAATTTAAAAGAATTTTGGAAACATCTGCTGAGATCTTGGAACTCTGAAAGTATCTATGAAAAAGGAATATTCTATTGTCCTTCTTTACTCCAAAAAAGATTCACTAAACATTCACAGCACAATTGTAAACTAAGAATTTAAAATTCTGAGCCAGGTGTAGTGGTGCATGCCTGTAATTCCAGTGACTTGGGAGGGTGAGACAAGAAGATTGCAAGTTCGAGGCCAGCCTTGGCAATTTAGGGATACCCTGTCTCAAAATAAAAAATAAAAAGGACTGGGGATAACGGGTGTAGTGGCACACACCTCTAATCCCAGTGACTAGGGAGGCTGAGGCAGGAAGATCACAAGTTCAAAGCCAGCCTCAGCTCGGGATATGGCTCAGAGGGTAAGCACCCCTGCGTTCAATCCCCAGTAGCAAAAAAAAAAAAAAAAAAAATTCTGTACTTATATTCATCTTTGAAATGAACGCTTTGAACCACAAGAGGGAGATGTTGTCATATTCTATTGTGTGATCATCTATTTTGAATATTCCATAACAGAGTAAGATTTTTCTACTTTAAGTAGCTATTTAAAAATAAATAGGCCAGGGGGCTGGGGTTGTGGCTCAGTGGTAGAGTGCTCTCGCCTTGCATGCACGAGATCCTGGGTTCGATCCTCAGCACCACATAAAAATGAATAAGTGAAATAAAGGTATTGTGTCCAACTACAACTAAAAAAATAAATATTAAAAAAATAAAATAAAAATAAATAAGCCAGGCTTGGTGGTGCATGCCTGTAATCCCAGCAACTCAAGAGGCTGAGGCAGGAAGATCACAAGTTGGAGGCCAGTCTCAGCAACTTAGAGAGACCTTGTCTCAAAAAGTAAAAAGGGCTGGGGATGTTGCTCAGTGGTAAAGTGGGCTTGAGTTAAATCCTGAGCCAAAAATAAATTAATTAATTAAAAAGTAAAAATAAATATCAGGATGGGTGGAGTGTGGTGGTGCAGGCTTGTAGTCCCAGTACTCTGGAGGCTGAGGCAGAAAGAGCACTTGAGCCCATGACTTAAGACCAGGTCCTGGGGATTGAATCCAGCCTTGACAACAGTGAAATTCTGTCTCGAACCCCAAAATTTTCCAGGCATGGTGGTACACGCCTGTAATTCCAGCAGTTTGGGAGGTTGACAGGAGGATTGAAGGTTCAAAGCCAGCCTCAACAATCTAGCAAGGCCCTGAGCAACATAGTGAGACCCTGTCTCAAAATAAAAAATATAAAAAAGGGCTGGGTATATGGCTCAGTGGCTAAGCACCCTTGGATTAAATCCCCTGTACAATAAAATAAAATTAAAAAGTCAGGGTTAGGGTTAGGGTTAGGTTGTAGAGCACTTGCCCAATGTGCATGAGGCCCTAGGTTCAATCTGCACCAAAATAAATAAATAAATGCCAAGGTTTTGGCAATGAATGTTTATCATGCCTAAATACAAAAAAAAAATGACTGAATGTGTACTTTTCTTTTTCATACAGGGGTTTGAACTTTACCAATGAATTACACCCCAACCCTTTTTATTTATTTTTTTTTTTTGAGACAGGGTCCCAGTAAGTTGCCCAGGGTGACCTCGAACTTGTGGTCCTCCTGTGTCAACCACCACATCTAGCTTGTTTGCTTTTCTTAAACTTTCTGGACATAAGAAAATTGGGTCAGATTCTTATTTGCTTTTCTTTTTGTGGTCCTTGGGGCTGAACCCAGGGTCTGGTGCGTTATATGCTTTCTAGTCAAAGGAGTTAGCACTTACACCCCAATTTTTCACTAAATTGAGAATTATCACCAAGGCAATATATAGTACTTGCTGAATGTAACACCCACAGTTTTGAGTTTCACTCAGGAGAACAAAATTCACTTGGAAATTGGCAAAAATTTGAGTTTGAGGGGGAATTGTGTATTTTGAAAAAACACATCACATGCAATGATTAACCAATGTAAAATGGGGAAGCCACAGGGATATGTGCCCTTTCTGCCAGATCGACAAGTAGTGACTTTTATTTTTATATGGAAAAATGACAGTTCACAGCTTCACTGGTTTCTCCTCTTTCTTTCCATGTGGAAATGATTACCTTTTCACTGTTTTTCTTATCAACTGTTGCTATGGTTTAAAATACTGGACTATATCTTAGTTCTAAAGAATGTAAAAAGTGGTCTGCTCCCTACTGAAAGGCACACCCACTGCTGAATTTTGCTAATCCAAGTATATTTGAAAAATAATTAGATCACAAATGTTATAAAACAATTGCTTCGCAGTGAGAAGATCCAAAGACTTAAACAATTGCCCAGATGAGACGAGCTTTAATGAAGATGTGTAACTAAATGATCTCACCAGGGTTAAGCCGATTCTGAGAAATCTTGCTAGAAATTAAGCATAAAGTCTTAGGTTGGAATCACTTGATATTTGAGAAAGGAATTTATGAGGCAGGAATGGGGCAAGTATATTTCTAACTTGGCAATTCATGGAATCATTAGTAGGTGAATATTAGTAGTAAACTCCAGCCCAGTGTGGTGGTGCATACCTATAATCCCAGCAACTCAGGAGGCTGAGGCAGGAGGATCACAAGTTTGAGGACAGCCTCAGCAACTTAAGGAGATCCTATCTATCTCAAAATAAGATGAAAAATAAAAAGAGGGCTGAGGATACAGCTTTATGGTAGAGGGCTTTGCATAGCACGTGTGATTAAACCTGAATTCAATCCTCAGTATCACAAAAAAAAATTTAAAAGAGCTGGGGGTATAGCTCAGCAGCCCTGGGTTCAGTACCCAGTATTGCAAACAAAATAGTAAACTTCAACTAGACAAAGCTCTGGGCCCATTCACTTATATGAGTTGACCCTTTTTCTTAATTTTATTTTAAGGTAGGGTCTTGCTTAATTATCCAGGCTGGACTCAAACTTGCAATCCTGCTTCAACCTTCCTAAATAGCTGGTATTACAGGTGTACACCACTGTGCCTGAATTGAGTTGACCCTTTTTTATTATCAACCAGTCCATTATTTGTCATATGTGGGTATCTAAATATTTTAAGCCTGTTTTACACATTTACATAGGAATTTTTTTTCTTGTGTTTTTGGAAAGCAAATTTTTTTATTTTAACAGATGGGACCAGATGTGGTGGTATGTATCTGCAGTATCAGCTTATGGGGGCGGTTGAGGCAGGAGAATCACTTGAGCCCAGGAGTTTCCAGGACACCCCACAACATAGCAAGACCCCATCTCAGAAAGAAAACAAAACCCACAGGGAAGCTAATGTCAAAGCTTCAAGATATAGGGTGGCACTGGAAATGTATTTTTGATGTATGTGGAGAAAATTACTAGTCAGCCAGGAAAACATCAGAATCATAAACTACTGGGTACAGATCCAGAAAATGTTGAAGATGTAATTTCTGGAGCTGGGGATGTAGCCCAAGTGATAGAGCTTTTGCCTAGAATGAATTATGGGTTTTATCCATAACTGGGTGGCGACAGGGTTTCTGTGTGTGTGTATGTGTGTGTGTAAACTGGTTAGTTGGTATCATGTCATCAATCAAACATTATCTTGCAGAGCCAGGAGGTACTCCTGTGGTTTGCAGGGTAATTCCTTATTTTCAAACCTTTTTCACTCTTTTATCTCTATCTGTGCCCCCTTCCCCCCCCTTCTATTTCCCTGGTGCTGGGGATTAAACCTGGGGCCTTGTGAATTGCTAGGCAAGTGTTCTACCGCTGAACCATACTCTCAGCCTGAGAGCTTTTTACTCTAAGCTTGTAGAACCTATTTCTTCCTGTACATTTCACTTTTCCAGCTTTGGGCTCCCCTCCTCCCTAAAGGATTCAGTCAATCCGCAGCATCTTTCTCCTTTATTTCACCCATCACTTGGAACCCACTGTCAGCAGCTCACTGTTCCCACCCAATTCATTCATTCATTCATTCAACTACTATCTATTCAGTGCAGGCATTGAGCAAGAAGTTAAGGATGCAGGGATCAATACCACATGGTCTATGTGAAGAAGCTTACCACATAGTTGAGTTTCTTTGGATGTATAGTGCTACAATTCTAGCTTCCTTATTATTGCTTATTATCTTGCCTTTGCATATATTCTTTTTTTTTTTTTTTTTTTTTTTTTTTTCCTTTTATATATTTTTTTTTTTTTTTTTTTTTTTTTTGGTTTCCAGTATCAGCAATTGAACTCCGGGGCTCATTACCACGACCTATATTCCCAGCCTTTATATGTTTATTTTTGTGCAGTGCTAGAGATCGATACTAGGTTTCATGCATTCCAAGTGAGCTACCACTGAGCCACATTCCCAGTCATTATTTTTTATTTTCAGACAAGGTCTTGCTGAATTGCTGAGACTGGCGTCAAACTTGTGATCCTCCTATCTCAGCCTCCTGAGTCTCTTGGATTATAGGCATGTGCCACCATGCCTAGCTGTATTCAGAATTTTTATGGGAAAAATGTGGTCCAAAAAAGAACAATGAATAGGGAGCCGTGGGCTAGGCTTTTAAAATGTTGAAATGTCTCCTCACTCTGTAGACTCTACTTTGCAGTGTGCATACCAGCCATTCTTCTCCTGACCACCATGTTTATCACACTTGAGTTCTT